TACTACTTCAGAAGCTTAAGACATGGAACAATGGATTCAAATGGCAGGAAAATAAATTCCACCTAAATATAATAAGTGTTGTTTGACAGTGGAATATGCAGTTTTGGAGTGTGGTGCAGCCCCCTTTTTTAAGCAGGGGCTGGATGGCCATTTCTTCAGGATTATTTTGTGTATTCCTGCATGGCAGGAGGTTGGACTGGATGGCCCTGGTGGTCTCTCAATTAATTAATTAATTAATTACCATATTTGTATACCACTTTTCTCAGCCCGAAGGCGACTCAAGGCAGTTTACATTTGGCAACAATTTGATGTCCCAATAACATAAAATATAGTTAAAAACATTTAGAATATAATATAAAAAACATACAAAACCAATAAAAAACAAATCATCAACATCTCCTTACTAAAATCATTTTTCTAGTCACACCATCCAGTCATTCCATAGTTCTATATTTACCTGTTATACTACATTTGCGAAAGCTTGCTCAAAAAGCCAGGTTTTGACTTTTTTACAAAATGTCAGAAGGGAGGGAGCTGACATAAATACCTAGGGAGGGCATTCCACAGCCGAGAGGCAACCATTGAGAAGGCCCCATCTCTCATCCCTGCCAGACACATCTGCGGAGAAGGTGGGATTGAGAACAGGGTCTCCCCAGACAATCTTACAACTCTACTATTCTAACAACAACAACGGGTCAATAACATTGGCTCCATACATTCTGTTTCTTTCCCATACAAGAAACTTCTACCAAACATATATTTTATAAAATGCTAGGAAGACTCCTCATAGTCTTCCTAGCAACATCTAATTAGAAAGCCAATATACATATGCTATTTTGGACCATTGCTTCTGCATTGAAGTCTGCATAGCCTCTGAACCTCAAAACTGTTGAAATAAGCAATATCCTGCTCAGTTATCCTGCTTTCTCTTTTCATCTGCTGCTTCCTTTACACCTCTCTCTCTCACACACACATTTTGCTATATTATTTTATAGAAATATGTTTTAATATGTATTATTTTAAAAAATACATTCTAAAAAGTATTTCTGGTATTTCTACAATGTGTATGAGTTTTAATTATTCTGTAACTCACCTTGAGGCACAAGGAGAGGTGGGTAAGAAATAAAATTATTATTATTATTTCAAACTGAATTTCACACAAACCCCATTCCTGAACACACTTGAGTTCTTAGGATTTTCAGAAGATATGTATGTTTTGGAGCTTTGGGAAAGTAAATCCAAAGCACTTTTTTACCATCCTCCCTGCCCAAGAGTGAGGTGTGTGTGTGTGTGTGTGTGTATCTTTGGATATACAGAAGTGAGGCTGCTCCAAGCAACTGAATAAATAAGAAACTCCATCCTGATTAGGCATAACATAACAATAATGTTTTGGTGAGGAAACGCTTGGAAAGGAATTGTTCATCTATGGCGAAAGTCATCCCTATTCCAGTTACCTAACATTTAATCAAGGAGGTCTCAAGAATAATTGATCTAAATTCTGAAATTGTCAGCATTCATGTCTTTCACTAGCAAGATAACACGGTCCATTACTGAGTGCAGCACTTAAAAGATTAAAATTTCATGTTATGATGCTGCCCAAAGAAGATTCTGGGGCCACTGATCCAAGGTACTAAATAGAATAAAATAATAAGTGATGACCAGAAGATAGACATGGGTTCTCTAAGAGTTCGTGCTATTTGAAACTCCTTTCACCACCCAGAACATATGATGTTTAAACAGGGCCACAACCTACACATGCCAGTAGAAAATATAACCTAAACACAGGCAGTCCCTGAGTTACAAGCATCCTACACACAAATGACTCATAGTTAAGAATGGAGGTGAAACAACAGGAAATGAGCGAAATCTACCTGTAGGAAGGGAAATTTACTCCTGAAAGAGTTACCATGGGGAATTAGCTTTTTCAACTAAAGCTTTCTCACCAATCCTTGTTTCTTCAGCAAACCATCCCCTCCGCCCCTCCAAATCCAGTTATCACGGGGAAAGAAAGTGAGGTGAAATCTTCTGAACAGGCCACAGACAGCAAAACAAACACCGCAGGGGCATTCACCCTTCCCTGTGCTTTCCCATGCATGCATGTGTGTGTACACACACACATACACACGGCTGGAGGTACACTTAAAAAATATACTTTCAACTTATCAACATATTCAGCTTAAGAACAAACCTACAGGATGTATCTTGTTCATAACTTAGGGGACTGCCTGTACATAAAATAGCAACTTAAGGTACTGTAAAGCCTAATATATAGCATCTAATTTATGAATACTGATCCATAAATTAGATAAATGGTTTGGCTATATCTATTGAATTGACATTCATGGTTATTAACAAATTCATAATGCTTTCTTTACCTTTAATATAACAGAAGAATCTAGCAATCTTAGGAAATTAAAACTTATCTTAGCATTTACAAATATTATTTCACTCAAGTTGAGACAAGAACTGAGCAAACATTTACAACCATGAACTATTTAATATGTAATATCATCTTAACAACTTAGTTGAAAGAGTTGCAATGTAATGAATTAGCAACTGTGGCTTTTTCATGGAAAAGAGAGACATTTTATAATCTTTAAACTACATTACATCAAACCAGAGTTAAATGCAGGGCTTCAGATATTAAATTGAGAAACTGGCAACCATAGGCATCAGGGATGAGAAGAAAACTCACTAAATTTCTCTGGCTTGAAATGTTGAGAAATATCAAGGAACCATTAACCCTTGCATGAAATGTTCAGTTAAGTGTATACATGAGACAAGGAGTGCTGGGTTCTTTTTTGACTGAAGGGCAAATCCTTTGGGGCAGAAAACTGTTTTTTCCCTTTGAGGATCAAATCACATAAAGAGAAGAATTGTCTGATTAATTCAAAAGCCTCAAAGAGTTCATTGAGCATTTCAGTTTTTAAAGATCCATGTGATAAGGCATCAGGTATCATAGTTTTGAGATACTACAATTTGAGAACTTTCCCCCCTGTAAATGTGAAAATTCTCATTGAGATCTGAAAAGTGTCTTGCAAACTTGCAGGTGAGGAGGAAAAAATTGTGTGGTTTCTTGTTCTTAGGTTCTTGAGTAAGATAAGCAAGCATTGATTTTCCTGGTAGGCACAACTCTTAAGCAGTGGTTCCCCAACAGTAGTCCCAAGAACTAAAATGTGGTCCACGGCCTCACTGTTACTACACTGTTGCAACGAAAGTGACTGATTTCACGAAATCTCTTATAGTGCCAAGACAACAAGGATGTTGGGAGGGGAGAGGCTGACCACCCACAAAAGAATGACAACAAGCCTCCTGACTACTGCTTCTCCTCCTCCTCCCTCCCTCCCTCCCCCTGAGCGGAGCCGTTTGATGTGGCACCCGGAAGTGGGAGCACCTTATGCCTTTGTTTTTAGGCATGTTTCTGGAGTTATTTGGGATTATGATTCAGAAAATTGCATTGGATAGACCACATCCGCTCTAGATTATATGATTTTCTGTGGATGAGCAGATGGCAACAACTGGAGGGCATATGTTCTATATCAGAAACTAGAGCTGATGTAGCACGTCCAGTGCAATTTTCTGAATTAGCACCCCATTTAAACAAACTGAATCTAAAGTTGACCAAAAACTGATTCACAACCCTTTTGATACTAATGTCTCTGGTCAAAGTGGTCCCCGGTCAAATGGTCCCTGGTCAAGAAAAGGTTGGGAACCACTGCTCTTGAGGATGCATATTGTCCCACCTACCTAATCAAGTTTTTTGTTTGAGTCATGCTTTTAAAAAACTTTTTAAAAACTGTAGTTATACATTTTAATTTCACACCGATTTCCCAACTCCATAACACACCTCCAATGTGCTTGTTTCTGTAACCAAATCTGGAACCAAAGCTATTTCTGCACAGTACATGTAAACTTAAGGCTTTCTGGCATTCATGGCTTCATTTTAAATAAATTTCTGACATGAAAGAAGCCTGTTAATGGAAACAGTGAAGAGGAAATAAGAATTAACAAATATCACTGTGTTTCCAAACAAAGGCAAATCAAGCAGTACAAAACACACAAGTATTTTAAGAGATATGTGAGTCATCACTAATTGACATTCTAGGAACATGGGTGTGAGTTTAAAGGTATCCAGGCTTTGCGCCATAAGGGAAAACACACATTGTTTGAGTCTGGAAATAAGCAAGTCACAACTTTATTGATTGTAGACATCTGGTTAGCCTAAAACATGGCTCTTAGATGCAACCAATCCCTCTGCTGACAAATGAGCTCCCCTTTAGCTAAAAAATTACACAGCAAGCGTTGATATGTGCTGTGAACTCAGGGTGCTAACAAAGTTTTTTTTTTCCTCACAATCATGGATATCCATCATGGTGGAACCTAACTGTTCCACAATATCTTTTTATTGCTAGCACTAGGAGATGTCTCTATATATTTAAAGTCCTAGTTTAAAGTTAAATTTAATTTAAAGTATAATTTTAAAGTTAAATTTGCCCTCACCTCACTGTCTATCTTTCATTTTCTGCTCTATATATTGTATCTCCTTCAAAACAGCATTTTCTGTTTGAAGAATTGAACTGTGAGTCCATGAAAGCTCATGCTATAATAAATCTATTAATCGTGAATTCTTTGTTATCTTACTGCAATAAACTAACATAGCTGCCTCCCCCCCCAAAAAACCCAGTCTTTGTTTGTTTACTGTCCAACAAAAGCAGTACTATATCATCTCTGTTTGACATGCAAAGTTAAAAAAAATCAATTGAAATGTAAAATGTGCATCAGATTCCACTGGTTCTTTGCCACGTGTTTAAAATATAAAAAAATACAAAAGGTTCAAAGGAAAGAAAGCGGCATAATGAAAAGCCTCCCATAGCCAAGAAGCAGAAACTAAAACAACTTTGCATATTTTAAAACTTTTTAGCACAGTTTTAAAAAAAATAGCAAAAATAACTTGCTTGGAAGTAACCATTTTCAAATAGATGTAGCTTTCTCCTACTCACCTAAACTTAATTTCATAATATCATTCCTTTGGATTTTGCGACCCTCTTCAGACTCTGAAGTTCCTCCAAACAGATAAATGTCCTAAAACAAACAACAAAAGCAGATGCGGAAGTAGTAATACTTTAGACACCCCAAACTTCCTGTTTTGTCCTTCCTTAATGACATATATATATATGGTCCCATTAAAGGTCTTGTTTCAATGAAAGATTAATATCCTGAACTTCTAGCTATTCTCAACTGTTTTCTTTCATTTTCATATAAAGGTTGCCTGTTACTGTCAGCCTGATGGTAATTTGTACACTTTTTTCCCTGGAAAAGTAGTTATCTGCTAATCTGAATTCCTTTGCCAATTTAAAAGACGGATCTCTCGACACACCTTTCATCCTACAAAACAAGGGACTCAAGGGATACCTTGATTGTCTCCAATTGTCGATGTCTGGGGCTCCTTTGTAATCCTTTGTCTTGCCCTGTAAGCCTTACCCAAACCTCTGGGGACACATGTGGATCATTATTTCTGGTTGCCTTGGAAATGTCCAGGTTCTGCTAATTACAATCTGCTAAAATGCTCTGGCTTGGAAGGCAGCCAGCTCTTCTCCCTATCTCTACCTCACATTGTAAAGGACTACAAGTGATAGGTATGGACTGGTAAATGAATAAAGGAGCTTCTGCACACTTGGTCTCAAGGACACTGTAAAATGCCATCTGTATAACTGAAAAAAGCCGCAAACACCAAAAAAGAAAGGAGGAATGTTGGGAAAGTACATCAACACTCTCCCCCAATTCCTGAATTGCAGTCTCCCCATCATTCCTGATATCCCAATTTTAAATGAAACAGTGAAACCTTTCCTGTTCCGATGGAGAAAGGAGAAGTCACTACACTATCTCACATTTTATCTTATTTACTTATATTTCCTGCCTTCGTTTCCAGCCCTAGGACTCAAGTAGTAAAAACACGTCACATTACTAAAAGCCCACCCTCATACACAATCATACACTAATGAGTTAGAGCAACCAATAATTATGCATTGCGTGGTTGCTTTCTGTAATGATAGTCATATGAGAAAAATCCATAGTGTTTGGTGGACCAGAATGGTAAGTTTATTTTAAATCCCAAAGGGAGATGTAAGAAACAGGAATGGGGTGGGGGTGCCTGCAGATGCCTATCAAAATGGAGAATGCCTCTTGAGGAAATGAGTTCAGCCCTTGGGATGCCTACCTCTGCTCTACCTAAAGGATTCTCACACTATTATAGGCTAAGAGTCAGCAAGAAAGTAAATCTGGCTCTCTTTGTGGGAGTCTGGTTAATGCAGTCCAACTGTAATGAGTTCTCACTGCTCAACAACAGCAGCAGCAAAATTATTACCCTTCTCCGTAAACTATTCAGCTGCAGTTCAGAGGAATGAACTGGCAAAGCCACCACTGACACAGGTTGAGGCAGGCATGTAGGCGGGGGGGGGGGGGGCTTGAGGGGCTTGAGCCCCCCCCCCGAAATTCTCATGGTGGTTCACGAGAAGGCCTTACTGGTACATTATTTAAACTGTTATGCTTATTCATATCATGATCTGATCACCATGCTCAATATATCCCATATGCATGGGGGTATTGGGGTAACGATACAAAAGGTTTGCTAGGGTAGACCCTCTTTCACTCAGACTCAGCCCCCCCGAACAAACTCAGCCCCCCCTCCCGAAACAAAATCCTGGCTACGGGCCTGGGTTGAGGCATCATTGTAGGTGATCGCTCGTGACTGAGTGTGATTGTCTTCCATACATGGAGTATTGGCAGTGGATCTGTGACTGCAAAGTCCTATTCTGGGTTCAGATGGTCTTTCACATTGAGACGGTCATGACAATTTTTCAATCTCTTTTGTAGTGCACAACAAAAGGGACAACAAGCAGGTTGAGTATCCCTTATGTAAAATGTTTAGAACTAGAAGTGTTCTGTATTTTGGATTATTTTTTTTGGATTTTTGAATATCTGTATTTATTTACAAATAATGAGATCATCTTGGAGATGGAACCCATTTATTTATGTTTTTATTTGTTTTTTACATACCATATACACATGGCCTGAAAGCACTACTATACATAAAGTTTTAAATAATGTTACACCTAAAATGAAGTTTATGTCCATGAATCATCAGAAAATAAAGGTGCCACTATGGATAAGTATACACAGCAAGAAAACACGGACTCACTGCAAATTCACTTCTGGCTGTTCCCACAATGTTTGCCAACTCCTAGTGAATATTGCATATTTTACAGGATTAAATCAGCTTTGTCCTGTTTTGATCAACATCAAGGGATACTCTTGAGTTTCCTGGATGTTGCAGAGTATCCCGAGCAGCCTGGACAATGGGATCAGCTCTGATTCAAACCAGTCTGCTGTACTGATGGGACACTGATGACATGACCCTTTCCTTTCACACATCTTTATACACACACAGACACACACACACACACAATACAATTGTCTTGTCACACCAGCTATTTCTAATTCTATAGTCCCACACCCCTCTCATCATTCACATAGCATTCTAAAAATACACCTGTCTATTACTTCCACTTGTTATAATTACATCCATTGCATATAATTATTGTAATATATTTTCTGATTGTTCATTCACAGTTTTTCCTGGATGTTTAGTGGTTGAAATTTGCCATTACTTTTGCACATGAAACTAATAAATGGCTTCCTTGTGTTTTCAAATAAATCTTCTTTTATTTCTCCTTTTGCTAATCTTAATTTATAGGTTACCTTTTCTGATAAGGCTATCACCCACACTCTGTTTAACCAATTCTTTATTGATAAATTCTCTAGCTTTTTCCAAATTCTGACTATTTTGTGTCTTGCAGTAAATAACATGAGAAATATAAGATTTTTATTTGCCAAATCCTTATTCTTACTTTCAAATACAGAAATCCTTGCACTCAGCAATGCAGGGAAAGGGAATGGCTCATTCCTGTGTCACTGCTTCTACCCAGCAAGGGAGTCCCATGTAAGCTCTTGGTCTTCATGGGCATTTGTGCTCTTCATGGGCCTTGGATTTAGAAGGAAATATAGACTTGACATAATCAATCACCCATGCTGGCAATCTCAGATTTTAGAGGATTTTGAGTTTCGGAATGTGGTATAAGGGATGTCCAACCTATATTCCTTTGCCTATGAGATGCCAGAGGTTACCAAAAATGGATGGGCAACTTGAAGATTGTGAACTTTGTTCTGTTTCAGCCATCAAAACCAATTCCTCAGTTCAGAATTATTTTAATTCAAAGTGTAATTCTTCTATGTCTCACTGTAGGAGGGCCTAATTAATGTCCTACAAGCCCAAAGTCTGCCCATTCCTGCCATTGGTATTTTACCAAATTCTGTTTCTGCAAGTAAAATTTCTTATTATCCTTTCAAACAAAATAAAAAGGAAAGCAATGTCATTCCAAAAAAAATTGCAGGATTTTTTTTTTACCTTATCATGGTGCGCTGTAAATGTATGATGTGACCTCCCAACTGGCTTTTCTCCCTTGACTTCACACTTTTGCCATGATAAAGATACTTAGACAACGGGGGAGTAGGGGACAATAGACAAACATTTTACATTTTCTGTTATTTTTCACAATCTGTAAAAGCAGATTTTTCATACATTTTGGCAAGGAGTCTTATAAATGTAGGAGGTTTAAAAACAGTCGCAATTTACACCCACAAACTAGACTGATTTATTGGACCTTCCAAGTTTTTCCTTTTGCAGTTAATTTGAACTGCATTAACTTGAATTTCAAAACATGAACTATGGCGTAATAAAGTACAGGTCTGGAAAAAGCTATAGGTAAAATAATCGGCAACACTAGTCAATATTGATAATTTGCACAATCTTATTTAGATCAAACTTATACAGTAGAGTCCCACTTATCCAACCTTCGCTCATGCAACGTTCTGTATTATCCAACACAGTCTGCCTCCTGCCCAGATCCACAGCTGTTTCAATATATTGCAATGTTTTGGTGCTAAATTCATATATACAGTAATTACTACATAACATTTGGTGTATTGAACTGCTTTTTCTGTTGATTTGTTGTAAAACATGATGTTTTGGTGCTTAATTTGTAACATCATAATGTAATTTGACGTTTAATAGGATTTTCCTTAATCCCTCCTTATTAGTCAACATTTTTGCTTATCCAACGTTCTGCCTGCCCATTATGTTGGATAAGCGAGACCCTAGGGTTATTTAAAGAGTGCAATCACAATTTGGTGAAGAGTTTTCTCTTCACCAAATTGAACATGCCCAGTTCCTTCTACCTTTCTTCATTTACCTCTCAACACCAAACAGCATTATACAGTATTATAGTCCAAAGCCCTTATGGCACCATAGGTGTACAAGGTATGCAGGTTAAAGAGATTAACAATTTCTGGATGATTGAACACACAAATGGGTAAAATTTACAACAGTTAAAAACTTCTTAAATGCATGTTGGCTAAAAGCATATTAAACATATACCTCTCATAATCTGTGTTGCCCTTCTCTGGACTCTAACTTGTATATTATTATAAGCTCATTATATTTATTTACACCACACTTTATCTCTCCCAAAGTTCAGAACTGGACACACCAGATGAGGCCTGGCCAGCAAATGATGTAGGGAGACTATTGCTTCCCTCAAATTGGAAACTATGCTTTTATGAATGCAGGCTAAACTAGCCTTTGTCTTTTTTGCTACAGCGTTACATGTTTTGTGAACTGCTGGCTCATATTCAACTTTCGTGTTATTATCAACAATAATACCAAGATTCATTTCACATGTAGAACAGCTGAGTAATGTTTTCACTATATTGTGCATTTAGTTTTTTGTGTCCTAAATTTAGAACTTTGCATTTGTCTCTATTTAATTCAGTTTTATTGATTCCTGTCCAGTTTTCTAATTTATCAGGATACTTTTAAATTCTGGTCCTGTCTTCCTTTTACCTTTTATATGTCTATTTCTCAACTTCCAAACAAACACAAAACCATTCCCAAGTCTCTTGCTAAGAGCAACGGTAATTCATGGTAAATGATCATGGTAAAAGATCTGTAATAATAAATAACACCTGTGTCCAGTGCAAACACATCTGTACAATAGTAATCTTCGTTGGAGCAACCTCCAAACATATAGATGATTTCTCCAATGGATGCAAAAGCATGGCCTGACCTGAAAAATTAAGCACCATTTGAAATGTATAGTGTGTCATGTAGCTCATTCAAACAAAAATTAAATTGGGATCAAAAGAATAGGAACAGAGATGTGGTAAACAACAGGGAATAAACCATGGGGCAACATGGAGGAAGGTTGGATGGATAATTCAATACATTTCCAGAAGGAAAACTTTTGACTATTTTATTACTCTTGTGGGATTTTGCAAGTTCCGAATTTAGGAAACAATCTGAGCAATTTTTAAGTACTCAGGACACCTGGGAATGAAATGATGTGACCTTCGACTGTGCTTCAGTCACTTATGACTGAAAAGAGAAGTGAATACAAGAAAGGGAAGCAATGGAGAGAAATATGAACAGGAGAGAGGATTTAATTATTCTGATTCATGGAAGCTCTCGACATTTTCCCAAAATAATTACATCAAATTAGGCATAGTTTGGCCACAACTTTTTCCTCTTAAGAACTTTATAAAGCCAGGTGGTAGGATGGTCTGAATATTAGACAAAGACCATGGAAACCAGGATTTGAATCCTCACCTTGCTGTGGAAGTCACTTTCTCAAGCTTAGAGGAAACCAATGGTAAATCTCATAAAGGCTGCCATAAAAACTTCTTATAGGGTCACCATAAGTCAGAGTTGACTTGAAGGCACATAAAGACAATAATAAGGACATTTGATGGCAACTTTTCTTTCAATCATTGGAGGATATCAAAGAATGTGGACCATGCAGCTCCTATGCTTCCTATCATAGGAGGCAGGACTAGGCAAAACTGCTCCAATTACTGGATCTGTTGTAAAATTGCAGAAAACCATCATTTGAGTGTCCACATGACATCACTTTCCTACATTTTAATGGCAATCACAGGTTCACTGCTTCCTCCACTCTCTTAGCTCTTTACCTCATTGGTCACCATAACATTTGCAACCCAAGCAGCAGGTAGTTATTTGGTTCTCAAAAATTCATGTAGTTATTTCTTCTTTTCTCACATGCATGCCATTGTATGCATGTGTGTGCATGTGTGTATGTGTTTGTATTTATTAGTGGGTGGCATTTTTCAGCCTATCCTTACAAGGTTTTTAATACAAGGTTTTAATTTTAATTTAAACAGAAAATTAGAATAAATGCAATATTACATTTTTGTGCTCTCTAATATAAATACAATTGGATAGATTTTTAAAGGGCTTATCAGTGATTAATTAAGCACACAATCACTTTTCTCTTAACTTTTCTGTCTTTCAATTAGGACTTACTATCGGGGAAGCCTGTGGACAGCTGCAGCCTTTGCTGCAGGACTTCTTCTGTAATCCTTACATCAACTCATCCAGTATTGTTGATGTGTAGACTGAAGAGAGGTTTGCCTAACATAAGTGAGCACATGGCAAAAGAGAGGGTCAAGCCAGGGGCTTTCTTCTGATTCACACCTCAGTCACTTAGCTGCTGTACCACTTTTTGATGAAGCAGTGAAGTTGACATCTGTTCAGCAATGGCAAGTGACTTTTGCCGAAATAACTGCTAGAAAAAGCCAGTATTGTAATCTACTCTAGCAGCAGGTCTACAAGGGTCAGGTATACCTGCCACTTGCTGTTCCCTGCTGTCCAGATTCTTTGAATTAACTCTCAGGCATTTCAAGGCCACAACAGCAGTATCGAGTACCTCCCCAAGTGCTGGAAAATGAGAAACTGCAGTCTTTTTTTTAGAAAAATTGAGTGATGTCAGAGGGGAGGTTGTGGGCTTTGAGTAATGGATGGCACTCTTGATTTCTGAACTGACCCATCCCAAGGGACAGTTTATGTTCAGTCCTTTTCTTACCAGTTTATGCCCAATCCTTTGCTTGATAATTAACATTTTCCTCTGGAGGAGCTCAATGCTTGCTTTTCTCATTCTAGTCTCTAGCTCTTATCCCTGTGTGCCATGGTCCTGGTTTCTCTGTTCCTATTTCATAGATTGTTTGAAAAGTTTTAGGGTTACAGCACCGAGAATGCCATGGAAAGCATGGCCACTGGAGATTATGGGAGCTATAGTTGAAAAGTAAGAATTTTATTCTCTGTTCTCCTGCCCAATAAGCACCAACTTCAAAGTTTGTTGCTGAATGTTACCCATGTTAAAAAAAATTGATCTCATCTTTAGGCAGAGTGATTATTCTGGGAGGGCTCAGAATAATGAGAAGGATGAAGATATTATGAGAAGGATGAAGACAGATATTTAATTTATTCTGCTGCCAGAGAGAGGAAGAGGCATTTATAGACACACATATCTCAGGTAACTTATTTTGGGTATAATGAACCTTGAGTTTTGTGTTTTTGTGCATGTGCTCATTTTCTGGTCTAGCTCAGATGCCAAAACATTTGGGTCCTACCCACTTAGAAATTCCTAATAACCAAATGACTTTGCCACACCCACCCCAACTCATAAATTGTTTTAACGAACAATGGGAACAGTGAAATCAATCAAAAATGGTTTCCTCCATCTGTTTGGCACTATGGGTACAATAATTCATGACCACCAAACATTATGGTTTGGGCTGGTGGGAGTTGTAGTACGTATGAAACACACTAGCTTGCCTTTTTCTAGTTTAAAGGGACTTTCATATTCAACGCCTACCTGTTGTGGCATAGAGTAGAATCTTGCTTATCCAACCTTCACTCATCCAACATTCTGTATTATCCAACGCCCAGATTCACAGCTGTTTCGATACATTGCGATGTTTTGGTGCAAAATGTGTAAATACAGTAATTACTACATAATGTTACCATGTACTGAACTGCTTTTTTTGTCGATTTGTTGTAAAACTTGATGTTTTGGTGCTTAATTTGTATAATCATAACATAATTTGACATTTAATAGGCTTTTCCTAAATCTCTCCTTATTATCCAACATTTTTGCTTATCCAGCGTTCTGCTGGCCTGTTTATGTTGGATAAGTAAGATTCTACTGTACTTAATATTTTCCACTGGATGAGTTTATTTTCCATAGAATGTTTATTTAGCTCAATCATGCATTATATAAATTTCTTTTTGGTCGTGTCAGGAGCGACTTGAGAAACTGCAAGTTGCTTCTGGTGTGAGAGAATTGGTCATCTGCAAGGACGTTGCCCAGGGGACGCCAGGATGTTTTGATGTTTTACCATCCTTGTGGAAGGCTTCTCTCATGTCCCCGCATGAGGAGCTGGAGCTGATAGAGGGAGCTCATCCGCGCTCTCCCCGGATTTGAACCTATGACCTGTCAGTCTTCAGTCCTGCCGGCACAGGGGTTTAATCCATTGCGCCACCGGGGGCTCCTATTATATAAATAATATATTAGCAATATATGTCTACTAGTCCTTTACCAATGTAGTTAAATTTGATGCATTTGTGTATGAAACAATGGAATACTGGTATGAGTCTTAAAGCAAGAGAACAGGGTTTCACTAGAGCAGTGGAGATTTCAAGCCTCCCTTTTCCATTGAAACTCCATTTGTAATCCCTAAAAACTACTCTTGAGGGTCAGGGAATGCTCTGAAATGGGACGGAGTGCAGTGGGTTAAAGTAGGAAGGAGTAATTGGTAGAAAGTGGGAGGTGCTTTGCACAGACAAAATATATTCTTGATTCCAAGGCAACTTTTTTCCTTATGATCAGATGACATCTGTAGTGAATTCCCTACCTGTTAGGCTAGGAGAAGCCTAGAAAAGTAGGCCCAAGAAGTTCAACAGCCATTTTGGAAAGGGTGCCAGGGGAATCCATTTTAGTTACTCATTTCCTGAAGGGGGCATGTTTAGAAATAGCAGCTTTGGAGGGAAATGAGGGAAGTCTGTAATTGGCTGGGTGAGAGTGGGCAGAGCCTAACTTGGCAAAAGAAAAAAAAATGACTTTAAGGGGACGTTTTGAAACCCTGTCAGGCAGATTGAATCTGGTGTCAGAAGTGATTGAATCTGGGAGTTAGGAGTGGTGAAGGGTTAGTGAGAGAGGCCTGAAATTTGTCAGTAGCAGAGATAGCAAGTGAAAAGATTTCTACAGCTATTAAGGAAATAGCTGGTGGAGACATGTAGAGATAGATCCAGGGTAGGACTATCTGTGGAGGTGTTTAGAATTACTTTCAGAGAATCAATCCTGTCAGTAAATTCTGTGGAGGGAGAGAGAAGTGTTCCTGTGTAACTAAGTCTGAACTGCTTAAAGTAACCACACGCTTTTAAGTCAATATTTTGAAACAGCTAAGCTTTATACCTGAATTGTTCCAGTTCTCTTAAATAAACATCATTGTTGTTGGGGTTCAGCCTGAGTTTGAACTTGAACCTGATTCTCTGTTTGTTCCTCCTGATGCTAATGAAAGTATATTTACTGATGCTAGTGGAAATGTACCTTTTGATGCCAATGCTCCTGAAATTAGTGAGGAAGAAACTGCTGTAGGTTTGGAAAATGCCAATGTTCCTGAAATTAGTGAGGAAGGAACTTCTGTAGATTTGGAAAATGAAAGTACCAGTGTTCCTGAGAATGTTTCAGAGGGAGACCTTGAACTTTCCCTCCCTTCTGCACCTGTTAACTGTAATGACAACAGAAGGGGCCAAATTTGGGAAGACAGAAGTAAAACACTCAGTTTCCGTCGATCCTCCCGAATTCAAGAATTAAAAACATTGGCTTCAAAACAGAAGGGCGCTTTACGGAACCGATTCTTGAGTTTTAATTGCAATACGCCAGGCTGATTGCCTCAGTTCAGGCATCGTTTCAGAATTGATGAAGACCTTTGCAGTTCTCCCGGTTCCCTGGCCATAGTTTGGGAAGATTTCTAGGATATCAAGTACGGTTAGTGGATTGCTAACAGATTCCAGTATTTCCCAGTGAGGCTTTTGGTTTTGCTTTGTCCATTTAAATTCATGTTTGCTGATTTTGCTGTGGCTTTTGACTTGCATTTTTCCTTTATTTTGTAACCATTTTTCTTCAATAAAAAAGGATTGTTTTTCACAGCCAAGTGTGGTGGATAGTTATCTTAGGGCCTCGTTCCCTGCTCTGGATTGCAACAATTG